ACTACGAGCCTTCCGCCCCAAGAGGCCCCCAGGAGGCCCCAAGAGGCCCCAAACAGAGCCCAAGAGGCTCCCTAGAGGCCCCAAGAGGCCCCAAAGAGGTCCAAGAAGACGCCCCAAGAGTACCCCAAACGGCCCCGAAGAGGCCTCTTCAACTGCCTTCAAGAGGTCCCCGGGAGGCCTCCCACGAATTCCAAACGAACTTCCAAGAGGCCTCTAACCCACAACCCAGGCACGGTGGTGGGAGGGGCCGAAGGCCACTAGATGGCTCAAGACGCCCAAGACGGCCTCCAGACGGCCCAAGAGGCCCCCAAGATACCCAAGAGGCTTCCAAGAGGTCTCCCAACAGAGCTTGAAGAGGCCAACAAAACATGTATGTTCCTCAGGTTTTTGAGCAACTTTGGCGTTTCCGCCTGCTCCGCTTCCCGGCGCTGAAACGCCACAAGAGGCTCCGAGGATCGCCCCAAGATGTCCCAATAGGCTTCAAAAGCGCCCCAAGACGGCCCAATAGGCTTCACAAGCGCCGAAGAGACGTCCAAGACTGCCCGAGGGCCCCAACTGCGGCCCAGGATCGGGAACGTGAGCCGAGAAGCCAAGATCTTTGCCCTAGGAGACCCCCAGGGGGCTTCAAAAGGTCCCCAAGAAGCCCCAAAGAGGCTCAAAAGAGCCCCGAGAGAGGCCCCGAATGCACTTGCGAAAAAGGGGGATTCCAACATTTTTTTTAAAGCTCGCTTGGCAGCTTAGCCACGTTTGCAAAGAAAGGAAGTCTAATGTTTCCTCCTCCTCCTCATCTTCCTCTTCCTCCAGGTTCCTCCTTTTCTGCGGCCTCCTCCGCCCTCTCCAACTCCTCCTCATCCTTCTTCTTCTCCCCCAGGGAACCCCTTCACCTCCCCTTCTCCTCCATCTTCATCCGGCTGCGTCCAGCCGCGGCGAATCAAAGGGCCCCCGAAATGCCTTTTGGGGCTGTCTTAAGCCGTCGTGGGTGGACTGTAGGAAGTCTTGGAAGCCACTTGGGCCGCCTTCGTGGTTCTTAGAAACCCCGGAGAAGAAGTGTCATGGAATAGAGATCCCCAAGCGTTCGACCATCCAGCCGAGCTAGAACTTGAGCGCGCGCGAAGCGCGCGCGGAGGTTCTTATCTATACATGTTCCTACAGCCTCTGGATTATTTCTCCTAGCGTAACACCGTTGCCCGGAGAACGCGTGCAAGACAAATGCATGTTGTTGCGCTCCGGCCAGAGACGTGCTGTTGCGCCCCAGCCGCGCACACCCTGTTGCGGCCCAGCCACATCAACCGATCGCCTTTGGAAAAGATGCGGGGAGGTCGCAAAAGTGGGGGGCCGCGCGCTCGCCCGAAGAAATTAAGAATTCGAAAGCACATGCAAGCAAAGTCGCTGGCTTTTTTTTGTTGGAGAGCGCCCCCCCGCCCCCCAGTAAAATTCTAATTGCAGGAGCCTCTGCGGGGGTGGGCCCTTGGGCCGTCCATTTTTAAAAATTCCTTTCATTGAGGAGAGTGGGTGGGGCCTGGTTTGGGGCGTTTCGCTTGGGACGTCCTCAGAATTTGCATGGTTTGGCCTTTGGTTTGGCCTCGTCTGGCCTGGTTTGGCTGGGCGCCCCGCCTGAGACATCCTCAAAATTTGTCTGATTGGTTTGGCCCCTGGCTTGGCTTGGTTTGGAGTCGGTTTCGCTTGAGGCGTCCTCACAATTTGCTTGGTTTGGTTTGTTGTCGGCGTTTCGCCTGACACGTCCTCACAATTTGCCTGGTTTGGCTTGTGTTCGGCGCGGTTGCGTGTGAGACGTTATCACAATTTGCCTGGTGTGGCTTGGTTCTGGCGCGGTTTCGCTTGAGACGTCCTCGCAATTTGTTTGGTTTCGTTTTGTTCCAGTGAGGTTTCGCCTGAGGCGTGCTCGCGATTTCTTCAGTTTGGTCTCATGTGTGCTTGGTTTCGCTTCAGACGTCCTCGCGATTTGCATGGTGTTGTCCGCGATTTGAAACGTTTTCGCAAACTTCAGGATGTGTTGTGAATTGGGGTGGGATTTGGTTACAGTTCGGCCCATCACACAATGACCCTACGATTCGCTGTCCAGGGCAACCACGTGGCGCACCCAAGCGCCAGCCACAGCTGAATCCGACCGCAGCGACGACGAGCCCAAACCAGAGCAAAAACAAGAGCGCGAACTGCGGCCACGAAAGGCTCTGAGCTCAGCGCCGCTCGGTAAACAAAAAGTGCAAACCATGTAGTGTAAGCTATGCAATGCCAGCTACGTGGCGACAGTTTTATGGTGTAAGCAATGTGTTACAAACCCACATCGTCGCAAGCTATTCAGTATAGCGTATGTGCTGCTAGCTACGTGGCTCCAGTCATGCGGTGTAAGCTACGTGGTGCAAGCCCACATCGTCGCAAGCTATGCGGTGTATGCTATGTGGTGCAAGCCCACCTCGTCGCAAGCTATGCGGTGTATGCTACGTGGTGCAAAGTATGTGCTGGAAGCTATGTCGTGCAAGCGATGTGGTGCAAACCCGCACCTTCGCACGGTATACGGTGCAATCTCCGTGGCGCAAAGCATACGGCGGAAGCCTGTGTGGTGCAAATTGTCTGGTGCATGCCCACGCCTTCTCTTCTCGCAGCGTTGGCCCGGTGTCCGGCGGTCGGAGGAAACTCTCCCGAGCCTGTAGCTTCTTCCCGTGGGCTTCCAGCGGCCTCCCCAGGGAGGGGGGGCACTGTGGCACTGCGCGAGGCCCACAGCACGGGGGGAAGACCCCCCCTTTTTGCCCAGAGGCTGCGCGCGGCCCTCCACCAGCTCCACCAACGCTGTCGGCGACTTGGATCCGTCACGTGATGCAAATCTGAGGAGGAGGAGGAGGAGGAGGAGGAGGAGGAGGAGGAGGAGGAGGAGGAGGAGGAAGGGGAGGCATATGATGAGTATCATGTGGGCGCAGAGGACTTCGCATCACGTTACGAAATCCCTCTGTCTACGTCGAGATCTATCTCCAGCCACTTGGGTCGGCGGACGTGTAATCGGTGTTCTACATGCTGCGTCGCCCAGGGGGTCGTGGCGCGAGGGAGAAGTTTGCCCATCGTCACTACGACTCCCACAGGACCAGAGGTACGCGTCGCTGGAGAGCTCCCTCTCCGCGCTCTACCAGCAGGACACCGTTTTGCCAGATTGGCCTCGCCATCAAGTGTCGTCCACGTCGAGAGGGAAGCGGGACTTGCTCTTGTCTTCTCATATGTGGAATGGACGGGTCCGTTTTCAGCAGTTTTTGTTGGTGGAGGCGAGGGGCATGGCAGCATCCAGCAATGAGGGGTAACAGTAAAAGTTAGCGTATGAGTGTGCTAGGAGTAGTAGTCAGGAGAGCAGGAGAGGGATGAGGACGGGTGAGGTTGCGGGGTAGGGGGATGACACTTGTCGCTGCTCTCCTGACTGCACTCTCGGGTAATTGTCTTTCACTTTCTGTCTCGGAGCCAGGGGTCAACGAAGTCATTTTCGAATCGGAGGTTGGCTCTTATAGCACGGTCTGACTTCTCAAAGTTCCCAGTGCTCAACTCTACATCCCCCTACTCGCGATGTGGTATGCTTTTTTCCACGCAGTGCCGACCAGAGGATTCAGGAGCAGATCGACAGGAGAAGTCGTTTCAGATATCCGCCAGAGTCGACAGGATGCCCGCATGGCAATGTGCCACTCTGGTTACGAAAGAAGTTGTCGCCTTGAGTTCCGGGCGTGCGTATCACCCAGCGGATTACCGTGTCTATTTCCAGAATTCCAGGTGACTCCTGGCGCGCGCCGCAGAGGGCTCTGGTGGCAAGATCTCCAGAGGCATGAATTGACAGCGTTTCAGCGCGCCCCGTGAGCAGAGGAACGACCTCTACAGCACCCCCTCGCCCCAGGCTCGGCCGGCCCTCTCCTGCCCGTGGCCCAGGCCGCCGGCGCGAGGGTGCACCTGGGCGCTCCGGCCCCTGGAAATAAGGAGAGAGGCTCCCAGCAGACGGCCCACTCCCAGCAGCCAGCCCAGAACCGCTTCGCGGCGCTGGCCTCGCCCTCGCCGGCGCCCCTGCAGATGTCCGCGGGGCCCGGCTACGCGGGCATGGGCGGCATGGGCGGGACGGGCCCGGCCATGGGCTCCACGATGGGTGCCGCCATGGGCTCCGCGCTGGGCGCCCGGGGCCCCGCCATGGGCGCCGGCATGGGCGCGGGCATGCACGGCGGCATGGGGCCTGGCGCAGGCATGGGCTGCGGCGTGCCCGGCGGCGTGCCCGCGGGCATGCAGGCTGCCAGCATGGGGCCTGGCATGGGCGCCGGCATGTGGGGCATGCAGGGTTGCGCTGGCACGGGCATGTGCGCCGGCATGGGGGCGGGGCTGGCCGGGATGCCAGGCGGGGCGGCGCCGCACTTCGGCGGGTTCTCGCAGGCGCGGCGGGGGCGGGAGCGCCATCGTCGCAGCATGGTGAGGGCTTCGGGGGCACCTGGAAGGGCGCCGCCGAAGTTACGTCCCAAAGTCGTCTCATGTTCCGCTGCAGGAGCCCTCGAGCCAGATCCCGAATGTCCTTTTATTGTATAAAGAAACACGGGGTCCCTGGAGCTCTGGGCCACTGCAGGGTCCACCTCGATCCGATGATCAGATTGGTCCGATTCGGATGTCGATGTCGGCAGGCCCGATCCGATTCGACTCCGACATTCCGGCGCTCCGATGCCGCCCGATGCTTGCATGGCGCCCTTGTGCGTCGTGGCGCGGCAGATCCGATCCGATTCCGACCCCGCGCCGACGCGGCTGGATTCGATGTGCGTTCTGGTCCGATCTGGTTTATCGATTCGATGTTGACTGATCTTGCCTTCCTGGGGTCGCGTTGTTTGTCCCGGATAGTCTCTTGGCAGTCCCTGGGCACAGCGAGGGTTTCCCAGCCAGCGCCGAAAGCGACAAGAAATTCCTGCCCCGTCTTTTCCAATGCGTTTGTTGTCTGGAGAGCTGGGTCTCGCGCGAAGGCGGCTTCGGCGATGGCGGCG